CCTTCCCCTTTTATCTGAGCCGTCCATCATGATTTAATCTAGGCCGTCCGATCGCGATTAAATTAGAAATAAATTTGGGTTGTCCATCGCGATCCGATCTGAACCGTCCGTGTGCGATCAAATCCGGACCGTCTGCACGCGTGAGATCTGGGCCGTTCATGCGCACTTTTGATCTGGGCCGTCCGTGCGCGCGGGAACGGATCTGGGCCGTCCAATCGCGCGCATGCGGATCACCTACGTGTCTCCGTCCTGCGTGGCTTCCCGCGTCAGTGTCCCTGCCACGCGGCATGTCCTGGTTGGCCCGGGCTGCTGATGTAGCTGCTGACGTGGTGCTATTTTTTTAAATTACGTTTTGACCCCCGGTTTTCGATTTTCTTTTCAAAAACACCTCCATAATTCAAATTTTCACCCATTTTTCCCAAAATCAATTTCAATTAAATGCCAAAAATAATTTTACCCCATTTTATTATTATTATTATTATTATTTCTATTAAATTAAATTAAATTAAATTAAAACTTTATAAATTAATTATTAAAATAAAATAAAATAAACAAAATTCCAAATTAAAATAAAATAATAATTTTTTTTTTTTGGGTGTCACATTATCTAACACCTCCAATCATCTTCCCCAGGGTTAAATCCTGAAATTCATAATGAGAGAACTGAAAATTAATTTGACAATTATAATTAAGGGTTAATTTACTAACGGACAACAAGTTATATGACAATTTTTGAATATGAAGAATTTTTACTAGAATTAACAAAGAAGATATAGATACTGTCCGTTTTCCAGCAATCGAGGCAAGTGAACAATTTGTAATTTTTACATTTTGGTTCTCTGCACATAGTGAGTATGAAGATAAAAAATGCGAAGAACCTGTTTTATAGTTGGTGGCTCCCGAATTTAATATTCAAGAGCTGTTAGAATTTGAACAAATAAAGATGATAGAAAAAAGATTATCTGACTATATTAAAGAATAATAAGGAGTAGAATGAAATTGAAACATTTTGTAAAGATGTTCTATCTAGAGAAAATTTTTATTCCAAATAAGAGCTGCCCGCTTGGAGAGCACAGCTGTCTTCCCCTGACGTAGTGTTGCTGTCTGGTTTCTTTTTTAAATTTGCTAGTATTCCATGCAATTTTCAACAAGTTTCCCAAGTATGCCAAGGTTTATTGCAATGATCACACCATGACCACTGTTTTCCCCCACGCCTTTCAATATCTGAATCAGTACCACGAGCTATAAGTGCTGATCATTCACCAATTTTTTTAGACTCATAATTGCTTTTTAGCAGCACCTTTCACCGAACTTCTTTCTGTCGTACCTTTGCAAACACTTCTTTTATTATTGGCAAGAGTTTTCTTCCAAGTATGCAACCTCTAACCTCATCTAATTCTTTATTTAAGCCAGTTAGAAAAACAAACACACGATTTTTTTTAATTTTCTTCCTATATCGAGCACCATCATTACAGTTTTCCCAAGATTCATCTTCAAACATATCCAATTCTTGCCATATTGTTATCATATTATTATAATAGGTTATCACCTTACAATCATCTTGTTACAGTTTTTACATTCGAGTATTTAGCTCATAAAGTTGCGAATGATTATGTAGATCCGACTAGGTCTTGCAAACTGCATCCCGTACCTTTTTCACTATTGGCAGAAATACAGAAAGCTTTCTGATTCCTAGTTCCATGAAATTGATTAACCATGCAATCACTATTGAATTTTTTGAGCGCATTGTTGGTATTTAGGATCACTTGAATCGGATTTGGTGACCTCACCATTCAAATAACCTAATTTTCCTTTTTCCATCAATTGTCAACTACACAGATTGAGACGACTCAAGGTAGTTTTTTCTATCTAATTTGTGAATGGTAATCTGAAATGAATTTTTAATGAGGGAGACAACTGAAGGTGTAGATGAGAAAACCGACGATGACTGAGAACTAGTCCCTGTCGAAATAGTACCACGTGTCTTTTGGAGGTGGTGTTCCAAAACCAACCATGGCTACTTTGTAATTGATAATCAAGCCCTAGAGCTCTGATACCACGTGAAAAAAATTGATAGAGAAAGAAAAGTAGTAAAAAACCATTTCTCTTATTTTCTGATTATGACAAATTACAGATATGTGGAGAGAAAAAATATATAAAATCATACTAATAATAAATCTCATGAAATTTGGGATTTATTCTAATCTTATGGAATCTATGATTTATTTTAAACTTTCATATTTTAGAAATAAATCCTAACTTTCCGAACTTATCTCTACCGACACATCCAAAAGCACATTTAGCTACATTTCAAAAAGATATTTTCAAATTTCTTTATCTCTAAAAGTTAGTTTTTCCTTCACATTTAAATACACTTCTTCTACATCATTTAGAGGTAGAAGAAAGGACTTTACACATTATTTACGAGATTATTTGAAGAAAGGTTCTCATCTTTATTATTTCTTAATTTCTGATTCATCTAATACGCTTTTACTTGTTTATTTATTGTTTGAGAAGATTCTTTAAGTAGTCTTTTAAAGCTTTTTTGG